TAGGTCTTTGTTGCTGTATTCGTAGCCTTAGACTTTTGCGTGTATAGGTCATAACCCTAGGCCTTGTGTCTCTGCTGTTCCAGAAGTCAACTGGCACATAAGAGTTATAGCCTGGGTGTGTGTTGATTTGCATCTTATCTCGATAGCCTATCCAGGGTTCCTGGATCAGTACTATATCGATCTGATCTACCCAGCAGAGCTCTAGGAGAGCTGTATGAGCTGGGCCTATCTTCCCCACGTTACACTGGGCGACCCGGAGTACCCGTGGGGCAGCTATTCTGAGCCTACTGCTCTGAGTCGAGGTCGAGGTGTGTGTAGGCATTAATAACGTTATAATCAGGCTTCTGAGCTACCCGCTGGGCCCTGCCGCTTGAGCTAGCAAGGGTATGCTGGGTCAGTAGTGGTGGCAGGACAGGGTTACTATTGGAGAGTTCTGCCTCAGCCTCATTCTCATCCTCATCTATACTACTAGAGCTTGCTGTATCGCTAACGTCTGCTACGATAATTGAGTCCTCGGTAGGGGTAGGGGCGCGTGGTCGCTTTGAGCCAGGCTGAGGGCTTGTTGAGCTGCTGCTGGGCTGCTGGCTGCAGGTAGCTTGGCTACCTGCCTGGCTGATCTGATAGAAGGCCTCATAGGTCTTCTGTCCAGCCTTTCGGATCCGGGAGAGTTCCTTCCGACCTGGAAGGGTAGGGGAGCCGTTCACCACTAGGGGCCTTGCTGGGCAGTCCTTGTGGTTAGCTTGGAAAGGGCCGGCGCAGTTAGCGCACTTTGGTCTAGCTGTGCAGGGCCAGGTCTCATGGGAGCCAGAGGGCCTACTACAGTTGCTGCAGAGTGGCTGCCGGTTACAGTAGCGGTTCGAGTGATATCCCTGGCATCCAGGGTCATGTCTGGTTAAGGTCTTCCGTTTCTGGATAAGCTGAGACCTGCTACTTTGGTTGAATAGTCTGAAGGATGGTACTTCTGTAGAGAAGGACACAACCCAAGAAACTTCGTTTGTGACAGGGTTTACGCCTAGGCGGGATTGATAGGCTCGAATAGGCTTTCGCCCTGTTTGAGCAAGGACCTCGTCTTCTACCAGGGTGGCTAGGTCGAGGGCCTCACCATCAAGAGACCATAGCTTAGCGGGGCAGCGTGGGACAACATAAGTAAACCACTTAGTAGGGGTTTCAACCTTATAAGCTCCTAGGCTGTCCGCCAGCTTCTGTTTGTTTACAAGTAGGGCTTGCTGGACCTGCTTGTTCAGGGGTCTTATCGAGTAGCCAGTTGCAATGTGGTAGATATGTGGGATATCTGCTAGTTGGAGGCCAAGGGCCTGACAAACTGTACGGCGCAGGGTAAAAGGGGCATACTTCCTAGCAGCCCCTAGGCCCTCTTCCGGGATACGGGCAAAGACCCGGAGGTCCTCCTTTAGCTGGGTTACAGCCTGGGGCTGGGTCTGGGCTTGAGGCCGGGATGGGTTTCCGGTGCGGGCTAGGGATGCGGCCGTAGTAACAGCCGAGGCCGCCACGTTAGCCCAGTTCCGGCTTAGGGTCGGGGCTGGGGCCGGGGCCGGGGCCGTCGTCTCGTTGCTCATAAGCCTCTTCAAGGCTTGGATTACGTGCGTTGTAGCCTCCTTTGCGATCTGCTTCTTAGGGCCCTCGAAGCAGGAGACTACGTTGTCCACAGACTGGGCGATAGTCATAAAGACGTCCTTTCGGTCTTCATAGTGCTTCGCTTCCTCATTGAGAGCCTTAAGGACAGCTCCAGTAGCTGTCCCAGTTACGTTCGAAGGCCCCTTAGCCGTCAAGGGGGTTGCTGTAGAGGTGTCGGGCTGGCTTCCCACGAGGCCGGGCCAGGGTGGCTGGGCCGCAGTACCGCGGCGGCGTTTAGCCCTTGAGGTTGAGGGCGGCTCTGGAGGAGATCCAGAGCCTCGATCAGGGCCGGCCGAGGAGGCCAGCAACGGTCCAGAGCCCGCCGGAGGCTGCGAGGCCATCGCGGGAGGGCGCTGGGGAGAGAGGTGAAAGATTTTCAGCTGTTAGGGATTTTGGTGATAGCCCATGTATTGTACTAACAGTGGATGCCAAGAGAAATTAGGCGAGAGGGAAGTGATTGGATATCACATGTGGGATTGGGATATTAGGATTGGGATATTGGATTGCAATGATTGTCTGAGAGTACTGAGTGATACGAATTTTGAACAGTGACTTACAAGTGGCAGCAGCAGCAACATCGGCGCAAGTTGGATCGGGATGCGCGTCCACAATGTGCTCTCGCAGGAGCATCTGATGCCGAATGGCGCCAAAGACCTCGTCGGGCGAAAAGCCATCTCCTCCTCGTGGTTGGTATCGTCCTCGTTGGTATTCAACACCTCTTGAAGAGTACTTCTCTTTGACGAGACGTCTTTTTAGGGAGGTCATCGTATGGTACATGGTATCGCACTGGTCGGCGTCTCGGAGTTGGGACGTCTCTTGAGCTGGGTATCTTTTGGACTGTGTTAACTAACCATCAGCTCTTCGGAGTGTTACTTGCATTTTCGAACAAGGCCATGAGAGTAGAATGACAATAGATCCACTGAATTGAAACAACCTTAGGCATTCAATTGAACCACATCTGGCCCCGTAAACGCTTTTGTGTGCTTCGCTTGACGGTTGGGTTGCAAGTCGGAACAATAACCAAAATGACAAAAGCATTGAGCCTTACTCTCACTGCAGGTAAGTCCGGAAGGCCCTACCGGTTCCTAATCGACGGCACCTGTGTTTGTAAAAGACTCGACAGGTGTTGAGGACGAGAAGGTGGGCAATAGGGAAGGGGGAAAAAAGGTGGAGGGAGGACACCTGCTCTACACGGGAAGCATCCCCAATACTTGCCATTGACAATCCGACCTGCGTCACCTGACCCCTTCCATCTTTCCCATGGGACTTCCATCTTCGGGATTCTTTCCGCCAATGCCACATTCCATTCGCCAGACCTGGGATGACCACGAGCAACTGCCAGTCCATCTTCTCTTCGGTCCTTCCCACCACAAGAGAGCGCCCAAATCAGCAACATCTCCCGACCAGATCTCTCCAGATTTCCTCCTCATCCGGTTTCTGCGGTCCTCGATCTTCGTGGCACTCGCGTGTCTGCAGCGTTCCCAAGTCACGAAGCCGCCTGCTGTCATCGCGTCGGTGAATCGCGTCGGTGAATCACAACAATGCTGCTCTCCTTCCGGCCCAAGTCCGTCTGCAAGACATTCCCAACGAAGAAATCAAGGGATCCTTCATGGCAAGAAAGTCCTGTTGTGTGGGCATGCTGCAGGCTGCTGGAGGTAGTCATGCAAACAGATTCGGAGCCCAATTGTCTTCGCCAACGGTGAAGTATCTCCACGCCCGAATCACAAGACTGCTGTAACTCTTCAACGAATCCCCCAGTCACCCGTTTCCCATTGACATCGAGTCTACCACCGAAAATTATCTCCACCGTCTTCCTCTCCAACTAACGACGGTACACTTCTAATGGTCATCCTCGACACATTTCCGGCTTTCTGCTCGACAACCGCCACGGCTACCGATACGATTTACCGTCTCCAAGACGCTGTTTCGATCCAGTCCAGGGATATCATACCAACCCACATGTTTTAGCTTTTTCGACAACCAAATGGCATCTCGGGTGTCTCCAATCGCATTCACTTGTCCCGCGATCGGCGAAGAGAGACGGCCAGACGGGTCAACTTAGCTACACTCGGAGGCTTCGCGAGCAGCCCTGCCGACAGTCCGCTTGCACAGGCTGCGGACAGATTCAATTTGCAGCCCTTCACTCCCCTCTGGCGTGTTGCTGCCATCGTTGACAAGGGCGAAGGTCACGCGGCACATCCACCAGAAGGACGTGTTCTAGATTCCCCATGTCTGACCAGCCCAAACAAGTATCCGGCAAGGAAGTCGGTGGAACCAGCAGCTCCAGTGGCACCGTCTATGGTCAAACGAGCGGTAGAGAAGCCAACGAAGGGGAAGCCATTCCCGTCGACAGAGAAACCGGGCACAGCACCTTGAAGTTGGTACATTGACCGGTGACAGTAGCGAGGCAAATGCTGCCCGCAGCGTGTCTCAGATGGTTTTGCTTCCGTATTGCCTCTGTATTCCTCCTGCTGTTCGTCCAAGGCGTGCTTCACGTCTGTGTCTGACTTATTGCAGCCACAGTACACCGGGACTAAGACGGTTTCCAAGGAATAAACACGGCGTATCCATGTCGTATTACCATCAATCGTCGTACTTGGACAATCGCAGACCGATGTCCAGACCTAGTGGGAACAATGGTGGAAGATTGATCCCCTATCACGGACGGAAAGAACAGAATTATCATCATATTACTTTTTGATGACGACACAGCGATATCCTGCCTGTTCCACCTCAAGAAAAACTCTACCTTAGTTGGTTTTTCGGGGTTGCATAATGCACACGGTACCCTCGGAGTGCCGCCACAAGCCTGAACCGGCAGCAGGTAACCGGGAAACCTTCAAAAGTCCAGAAGAGGATATGAAATACATCGGTTGAACTGTGTTAGGTACAGGAGCGAGAAACGTGGGCATGGCCGCCACGCCGTCAGGCCATTGATGTATTCCTTAGTTATTTGATTGACGTTTTGAACCGTGTCTTGCCATCTCGCTGGTCGCGGGAAAAGGCTTTTTGCATTCTTGGGGGGCAATCTCAGTGATATACACGGGAAAGGTCTGATGTTTCGTCCGCCCAATGTAGGCAGTACAAGTCTGAGACTTTCTCTTCCGCTGCAACAGTGATTTATGCTGATACGAGATTCTTCTATGACCCGCTCGTTATGAATTTCATGTTCCAGGGAAACCATCCCCGCGCCACCCCCTCTCCTTGAACAAACATTTCTGAGATGACGGGTATCGACATGGGCTTCGAGCTTGGACTTGAGAATCGAGTTTGGCGTTTGACCCTCAGGTGTCTTAGGATGATAGGGCCACATAGATATGCTTATTAACGCATACAGAAATACAAACAGATTTTCCGGTCACAACTCCACAACGACTTATGGTGACGCTTGAAAACCCAGATATCTCGTTTATCAAGAGGGTTCACATTAGCAGGCGACAGAACGGCAGAAGTGTCAGCGGAATTGATGTTTGGATTTTCGTAGAAGTACCCAGCGTTCTGGCCATTGCCATGTTAAAGCCTCAATGCCGTGCGTTGACCGAGCAGGCTTTGCCAAAAATGGCATTGAGGGATCGTAACCCAGAAGGCTACCAATGATATGCAATGTTCAGCGGGCTAGAGGCAGTGCGTAGTTGGCCACAAGCACAGCATCATCGTATACCCCAATTTCGACGCAGTACGGAGCTTCAAACAAAGGTACTCCACATCTTTGAATATGGTCACGGACACTGATAGTAAAGATTCGCCGTCAACTCCGCAGCCAGTAGTGCTGCTCCAGCAATCAATATGGACATCCAAGCTCCGTCAGAACGCCGCGCAAAAACCAGTACCCACAGCGATTGCCAGTCACAAGACCAATTCATGATCGTCTTGGGTCCAAGTCATACAGCTATGACCATCTCTGTCTTGTTGTTCGCTGACTTGTAAGCTTGGAGAAATCGTGTGAGAGTCATACGGCAGTCACTAAGGTGCGCCTCCAGGCGGCAAACTGCGAAGAAGAAAAGTTACAAGGGATATCTCCATTCCCACTGCTCCATCCGCCTAAAATCACAATCAAGCAATACGAAGCTCATTATCCACATTTACATCTCGGAGAATGCAAGGTGTTTGAGGTGATGTTTGGCCGCTACTGAACTTCGTGGCAGTGTTCTGAATCTTAGTGTGGATTGGTTCTTGGGCCGCCGAAGATCAACCGGCATAATTTATACAAAGGTCACATCTCAACTAGGCGGATATGTACCTACCCTAATGACCTGGCTGCGGCCCTTCAAATGTAGTCTATTTTCCACTCAAGGGCTCCTGCGTCACTCTCTCTAATTACATCAATCTCCGCCCCTGACCAGAATAAGCACTGGCTGAGCGCTTTTACTGTAGTTTCCCTATTGTGGAAGCCTTGACCAGGTGGGCTACGAAACTTCATCAAAACGCTTTCGATTCCCTTGGCGATCATAATTGATGCCCTCAAACTCGGCGGGAAACCTTTGCAGTCAAGGTTTAGTCGGCCTTCTAAATCGGTATCGCTTGCGCGCATCATCGATGAAGAAGCCATCGCTCGCTATCGCCCGGGCGGCCATCACCCCGTCCGCCTCGGCGATGTCTTCGAAAATGGCAAATACAGGATCATCGGCAAACTCGGCTACGGCGTCTATTCCACAGTTTGGCTTGCATCCGATATGGAGTGCGTAGGAAAATTCTGCATGACTAATCAATGCGTCTCTTGAGAATCAGCTCGTAACTAATAGGACAGGTCCAAACGCCACGTCGCATTGAAAATCCTTACTGCGGACTCATTCGGGAAAGGCAAAGACACCTTCGAGCTTGCTATCATGAGATACATGAGAGGCCATGTGGTAGAAGCTCCAGGAACATCCCATGTTATTAGGCTCCTCGACAGCTTTGGCTTCACGGGGCCGAACGGAAACCATGTTTGCCTGGTTACGAAACCTATGGGACCTAATATGTCGACGTTGAGAGAGGAATTCCCAACCCCACGGTTGCCGGTACCTTTGATAAAGAGCATATCTAAGCAGCTTCTTCTTGCACTAGCGTATCTACATGATCAATGTGGTGTCATTCACACAGGTTAGTGTATCCAAGGTGCTTCTGGTTTAAGCATTTATCATAGAATGTGGCGATTGAATACTGATTCAACTTTGTTGTAGATATAAAGGCCAACAATGTTCTCATCGAGACACCAGCAATCAATAGAATGTTCAATGAATTGCCGTCGGAGGCCTTCAGGCCAGACCTTCTACCGCTTGCGCCACCAAATGACTTTTACGTGCAATCCGAGCAGATATCTTGGGCACAAGAGGATCTCAAGAATTCAAAGAATATTTCT